CCGCCCCGTACCTCTCTGCCCCGCCTCACCATAGGCCCCGCCCGGCCCCGCCCAAGGCCCGCCCCCGCCCCGCCCCGCGCCACTCTGCCACCAGAGCTCACCGTCGGCCCAGTCGCTGGCGCTGGGCTGCCCCTATACTGAGCATTATTTTGTGTACTTTGCCTCGAGTGGCCCTGGCCGGCTCGAGGGTTGCCCGCGGAGACCTCGACACCCAAGGAGCACTGCAGTGTCAACCTGGTGACCTCAGGCGAGAGCGCACCTCCCGAGCGCTGTCCCCCGTGTCCCGCCGGAGTCCTCCCACGGTGAGCTTCTCCTGCAGCGGCGGGCGGGCTAAACCCGTTCCCCAGGGTGAGCTGACTCCGGACCGACGCCGGCTTCGCTGCCCGGTGACCCACGGCCTGGGAACGTCTCTGCGCCTTGGTCTACAAGCAGAGCCTGGAAGTCCGGGAGACACAGCTGCCATTTCATGTGGTTAACGCTTCCCTCCCACTGTCGTGATTCCAATGTTAAATGATTATTTTTATATGACTTAAAACTTTTTCATTTTATTTTATGGCCTGTTTAAGGCAAAATTTAAGAAACTTTCATGGGCCCTAAAATTTTCGTTTTTTCTATTGTGAAAAAAATCACATTGTTTGGATATTTTGCCTTGTTTTTCAGTTTTTATGGACAGGACAGTGAGTGCACTTCCTATTTCTTCAAGCAGGTCTGATGCTTAAGCCCTCAACACGCTCAGCTGTTGCTGTATGGGTTTATTTCAAGAGTGTTGGTTCCTTTGACCTTGACAGCGCCCCCTCTCTCTTTCTATCATGGGCCTGGCTGCTGGAGAGGTAGCTTGATTCTGGGGTTCATGGCAACTGGACTGGATGGTCGTGCTTTTCACCAAGTGTGCTGAAAGTCCTGCTGCAGGAGGGAGTAAAGCCCACCCCATTCCCACAATCCTAGCCGTGTGGAACCATCAGACCCCATGACAGAATGGGAAGTGGATTCACTGTCCTGACTTTAAAAACTGAAAATTGAGGCAAAGTACACAAAATAATGCTTTTTCAGATCTTGCTCTACAAGTGCACAGGGCAGTGACCCCTGAATAAAGGGGCAGGGAGTGAGCTATCTTTGCCCTCAGGCACTGGGCAGGCTGTTTTGGAACAGTGCGCAGTGTCCTAGGAAGGAGACTGGGGGGTGTCTAAGGGGGGCAAAGATGCTGGAATTCACAGGGCAAAAGTACCCCAGAAGAGAGCCAGGAGGTTGGCAGAGGACTTCCCACAACCTTCAACTGAGTTCTGACCCTTGTGTGAGTTTGGGGAACCTACCCAAAGGTGTGGACAGCACCCCTGGGTAGGAGCCGGCAGACAATCCCCAGAGCTAGCACTGATCTGGGAGCTTCACTGGCGTGGCCAGGAGAAACCCTGCCAGTCACAGGCCACAGTGGGCCTGCTCTGCAGGGACCACCTGCCTTATGGCAGGCAAATCAGCCCCGGGCCAAAGGCCACCCTGGCCTCAAGGATCGCAGCTGAAGCACTCCTCAAAAGCTTCTGATCACTTCCTAGAACAAAACTCAAAGTTTGATCAATATGAAGCCCATCCAGTGAAACTCCTAACAACAATTAAGCATCACTGGCGGAGGATGCAGACCAATGACCAGAAACAAGCCTGGGAATTCAGAGATGAGCGTCAATGGCAGGGACAGGGAGACACAGCTGCCATTTCATGTGTCCCAGTGGGTAGAGGAGGACATGAACAGGGGTGGAGGGGTGGCGGGGTGGGGGGGGGGCAGCAGAGGAAGCTTAAAACAGAACCTGACTTTGAAAGGTGGAAAGTAAGTTAGACTGAGAAAATACACCGCAAATACGCGGGATAGAACCACCAGCAGATTAGACTGCAGAAGACCGTCCGTGAACTTGAGGACACTTTAGGGTCCACTGGGAAGGAGGCACAGAGCAGCAGGCTGGAGCCCTGCCGGGCACCTTCAGGAGGGCTCACATGGCCCGGGGTCTCTGAGAGGAGGACCTCCAACAGGCATAATGGCCAAACCTTTTGTGATCTGACGTAAGCCATGAACTGTGGACCCAGAGGTTCAGCACATCCCCGTGCCCTGGAAACAGGGAGAGTGTCACCCCAGAGCACATGGTAGTCGCGTCACTTGTGACTGTGGAAAAGAGAAAGATTTAAAAACGGACTTTTGTACAGAGGGTCAAAGGTAAGGATGGCCATGACTTCTTGTCAGAATCAACACAGGCATCAGAACAAAGGAGTGTCTAAAATACCAGGACCCTCCCCGACCCAAAACAAAGAGGAACACACACTTGTCAATTTTAAATTCTATGCCCAGCAAAGATATCTTTGAAAAATAAAGGTGAACTGGAGAAGTCTCAGACACCAGGGCAGAAGGCTGTCTCTGAAGCCCTGAGATAGAAGGGGAGACACAGAGTACCAGCCCTGGGAGGCACATGGCAAATTTTCTGATTTTTAGATCATTTTAGAAGATAATTGATTGCTAGGGGCAGAAACAATAATAAGGTATTATGGAACTTTTAGCAACTTAGAGCCAAAGTGCCTCACAGAGGACATGGAAGCTTACTGTTTTAAAGTATTAGACTAAGTGGGGAATGATTTATTTCTTCTTTTGGGGGAGGTGAGTCTTACACTGTGCTTCCCAGGCTGGTCTTGAACCCCTGGTCTCAAGTAATTCTCCTGCTTCAGCTTCCTGAGTAGCTGGGACTACAGGTATATCTCAGCTCAATGCAATCAATCTACTTTTCTTTCTTTCTTTCTCTTTCTTCTAGAGATTAAACCTATGGACACCACTGAGCCACATCCCTTTAAAAAGATTTTTAATTTTGAGACAGAGTCTTGCTAAGTTGCTGAGGGTCTTGCTTAGTTGCTGAGGTTGACTTTGAACTTCAATCCTCCTGCCTCAGCCTGCAGACTGCTGAGATTCCAGGCAGGTGCCACTGTGTCCAGAACAATATTTCTTGAAAGTTGACTGTAATAAGTTAAGGTGTAAGCATTAAATAATGACTAAAGAAAAGAAATAGGGAAACATCAAGTTCTGGATAATAAATCAACCAAGGAGACAATATAAAATCATAACAAAATTAACCTGTTTATTAAAGAGAAGACAGAAAAAGAGGAAAAAGGGGAAAAAAAAAACCCAGAAGAGACAAGTGGAACAGGACTCTAGCTGGCAGAGTCCGCCGACGCCCACCACCATGATGCCCTAACCCTCCTCCAGAACAGGCCGACTGACACAGAACAGGCCAACTGACAGAGGAAGCCTGACAGCCGCTGCCAGGAACCCCAGGGACCCGTGCAAACACAAGTAGGTGAGAACTGAAGGATGGAGACAGAGGGAAGGGGACACCAAGGAAGAGAAAGAGCCAGGTGCAGTGGAGGTGGCACGGTCACAGGTTCAAGGCCAGCCTGGGCAGCTCAGTCAGACCCTGTCTCAAGGTTGAAAAATGAAAAGGACTGAGAACGCAGTTTAGTGCTAGGGCACCCCTGGTCCAATCCCCCGTACTACGGGGTGGGGGCTGGGGGAAAGAAAGGAAGCAGGAAGGACTCAGCGATATCCCACAGAGCAGGTTTCAGGCACAGGAAGAAACCGGAGCAGAGGCCATTTCCAAGTGGTAGAGGGTCATCGGGGAACAGAGCAGCCTGAAGCTCAAGACCTGACCCGGGACCTTCAAAGCACACAAAGCAGCAGACACTCCTGATGGGATGCAAGGTACGGGGGAGAGCCCCAGGGGCCGTGGGCCCCCCAGATCACTGTGTCCTGCAGAAAAAGAACACACCCCAACCCCGAACAGGACAGCCTGGGTCCCGAGCATACGGTGGACGTATGAGGATGGAAATCAGGCAGATCGTTTTCTTTTTGAGCTGCAATGGGATGAAATTAGATATTAATAACCAAGATATTGATAAGATTCCAAATATTTAGAAACTGGCTGACAACACATTTCTAAATAACCTATTGATCAATGGGGAGCCTTATTTATCGGGTCAGGGACTGTCACCCACCCATTGAGACTGAAGCTCTGTGGGAGAATGGCAACCTCCTGGCCTGTATCCTGGGAACGTAAAGACGTCATGCAAGTAAGCCAATCACAGAGATCAAACAACAGTAAGCTAGACCTGCAAGCCCTAAGCAGGACTGGAATTTTCCAGTTAGTAAGCAACAAGTACAGAAGCTAGAAAAGGCATCAGCTCTGCAGTTCAGTTGACCACAGTCCCAGGTTCAAGCCGGTGCTAGGCAGTCGCCTCCTGAATTGGGGCAGGGGTTGGTGGGAGCAAGAATCTACCTCAAAGTCATGTACACCCACAAGGGCAAACAGGATGTGGCTCACCACGACCACCACTGCATCCTGAATAGGGTACGGTTTGTGGGGTACAAAGTGCAGAAAAACAATTTTTATAAGAAAACAGCTTTCATTTCAGCTCCTCAGAAACAGCTCTTGTAACAGTTTTTATTTTTTAGTTGTAGTTGGACACTTCATTTTATTTATTTATTTATTTATTTTTATGGGGTGCTGACGACCGAGCCCAGGGCCTCGCACGTGCTAGGTGAGTGCTGTACCGCTGAGCCACGGCCCAGCCCCATTGCAACAGTTTTTTAGAGAAGGCAGCAAAATGGAGGCTGAGGCCTGCCTGTGACAGTTCTTGCTTTTATAATTGTCTTATCTGACTCATCAAAACCTTGTATCTATAATCTGTTTTTTTTTTTTTTTACTAATCTAGAACCTGTAACTTACACTCTTACTGATTCATCAGTTCACACCACAACACCAGAAAATAGACATGACGAGCAGACCAACCAGAGCAGGCAGCACAAGGGAGCTGTGAGAAGGAGAAGAGCGACCACAGAACCGCGAGCTAGAAAGAGCTGGACCAAAGAGGGCCAGGAGCCACCTGTTGGTTCTTTAGAGCATCGGGGAGGAGACAGGTGGCACCATCTAGCTTGTCCATGGCAGGACCAGAAAGAGGGCCTGTCACATGCCAACCCAGCTGGCTGGTAGCTGACCAGAAGGGCAGGTGGTGGGGCTGCCCCCAGGCCTTGTCCAGGATGGGGTGCCCGTGCTGGGGGCCAGGGGGGCACAGACCCCGTCCTTCCTGACAGGCTGAGGACCAGTGTTTGGTGAGGGGGCGGCCCTGGGGCTGGGCTGTGTGGAGCCTTTCTGCTAAGGCAGAGAGAAGCAGCCCTCCCTGTCTCATGTGGTCGGGAGGGGTCAGCACCCACCTCTGGGTGGCCATCCGGGAGCCCTGCCCCTTGCCATCACCTCCCCCACAGCATGGTGCAGGCTCTGGGCTTGGGCTCTACAGGGGGAGTCCCTCCTGAGGGCACCAGGAAGGAGAGGGCAGGGCTGGGGCTCCCACTGGTCGGAAGCTCTGTCCACACCCACAGGGCCCCCACCTTTGCAGACCCTGCCCAGGGCTCTGGCCTGAGGTGGATCCCAGTTAGGTTGGGGTCAGGTTGAGCCTAAGACCATTGAAGGGGCTGCCCAGTGGGGTCACGCCGAGGTAGCCAGGAGGCTAGTCAGGCCCCGGGGACTGCAGGCCCCGGCACAGGGTCTGGCTAGGAGCTGTGGCTCTGGGCTTGCTCTGGAGAGCTGCCCGGTCACAGGCACTGCTGCGCCACACAGGAGCCTGGCGCCCTCGAGAGTGCAGACAGCTTTGCACCCTGAACTGGGGCCTGCACACGCCCACCCACCACCTCTGCTGTCCCTTTACTGGTCACCACTTTTAGAAACCCTCTCTGACCCGCCAGATGGCACTCACTCGGTGGCCTAATTTCTGGGGTAGGGGCACACTTCTCCCTGCCTCCATGCTGGACACAGAGCCTCCCTTGCCCAAGGTGGCTGTCGCTGTCCCCTGGACTCTGTAGCTGGCTTATTGTGGGGTGAGCAGGAGGCACTTCCCTGTTCCTGTCCTCCGAGTCCACATGGGGAATGGGTCTGCATCATGAGTGCCCCTGCCCTCGGCTCTGCCTGACTCCCATGTCCAGACTATACCTTGTCCTGGGTGCCCAGCGGGGACAGTGAGAGGCACACACGGGTTCTGGGTGGCTTGGTCAGGGGAAGAGAATGATCCTGGCAGGTGCCTTCAGACACCCGGATCTGGCAGCCACCTGGGGTGGCTGGCCCAAAAGGGGCCCCAGGAGCTCCTCCCTGCAGCCCTGGGGCACAGTTGCCAACGGGAGCCGATCACTGGGTGCTGTACATGCAGCCAGAGGAAAGCCTGCTGCCCTGCAGAGGGTGGAAGGAGGGGCAGTTGTTGGGAAAAGTATAACGGCAGCCGCACCCCAGAGAAAAACCCCAACATGGCGTCTAAGGACCTTCTCTTCCTACTTTCCCCTTTTTTTCCACTGGCTTGAAAAGTTCCCGCGGGTTGAACTCTCCCGCCGGCGCCAAGTTCAAATCTCGCTGGCGGGGAACCTGAGCCCCAATAAGAACTAATTCCTGGGCTCCGGAGCTGATATCTGGAAGAACTTGCCAATGAACGCGTGGCCTGCCATTTATCTAAGCCCTGCCATCTGTCCTAGGTCTATATTAGCACAGAGCCTTTTGCAATAAAGTTGGAATCCTCCCTGGCGAGTTGTCTTGCGTGGAGGATTCTTTCAGCAGTGGCCCTGCAGAAGACCAGGGGACCCCTCACAGGCGCCAGCACCAGGGGTGGATGCTGACCCCACCAGGTGGGTGAGGCTCTGGGAGGTGGAGTGTCTTGCTCAACTCACCTGGTGAGGACCGGGAATGACCAGGCCAGGAATGAGGAATGGCTTGGGTGTGGAGAGGGGACTGACAGGGTGAGGCTGTGGGGCTCACCCAGGCCAGGCCCAGAGCTGAAGGGGCAGCCTGGGCATTGAGGTTCCACATGGGCCCAGGTCTCAGGGGAGGCGAGATGCTGGTGGGGTTAAGAGTGACCGCTTCCTGGGTCACACTCCACCTTTCACAGTGTGCCAGGCTGAGGGCCCTCAGCTTGAGCCAGCGTGTCCAGAATGCCTATCTCAGGGCAGGTTCACGGGGAAGGAGGCCAGACCCCTCCTCGGTGCCATCCCTCCTGTCTGCTGGGGGCAGGGTAATGCTGGGCCACTGAGGAGCTTGCCCAACCAGGGTGCCACGGTGCCAGGGAGCCACGGTGCCAGGGAGCCACGGTGCCAGTCCTGGCAGGGGTCAGAACCTTGTGCTGACCCCAGGAGGCTCAGAGGATGGCTACTGGAGAGTGGGACTGGCCTGCTCCCAGGATGGGGTTGATGTTTGCTTGAGCATCTCTCTCACTCCACCTCAGCCTCCAACTTGGAGAATGTCCAAGCCTGGCAGGAAGCCAGCTGGAGCCTGTGCTGTCCTCGGGCCCTTCCCTGCCCCTGGGCCACAGCACCTAGCCTCTTGCCGAGTCAGGCCCCCAGCTCCCTGGGTGAGTTCTGGCCCAGGGGCTGCTGGGCTCTGTGTGGTCAGGGGACAGCTGGCCTGGCCTTGGAGCAGTGTCTGCAGAGCTCAAGACTGGGGTCTCTCTGAGCCTCTTGTACCCAGATCTCAGGGATGTGGCCTGGGTGGGTGTCCCTCCGCCTCTGGGCGCTACTGGCCTGTGTTCCATGGTGCCTCACCCCAGGGGCACCTTCCTCCTCTGAGGCTGCTGGAGGCACCGGGGAGGGCCTGACCTCTCCAGGGGTGGTGAAGCCTCCTGCACTGCCCTCGCGCGGCCCAGGCTGCCCCAGGCAGCCAGTGCTGGAGATTGGGGTCTCCTGCCCCACCCCCATTCCACACCCATGCTGTTTTACGTCATTTATTTCCTTGCAGAGGCTCAAGTAGAAAAATAAAGGAGCAAGTACAAAACCAGGGGACCAGGGTGGCCTGTCCGCCCTCCTGCGTGCCTGGCCGGCCACACCCTCCCGTCCTGGGGGAGGCGCTCTCCACCCTGACCTGGCCCAGCCTCCTGGGCAGGCCCAGCCTTGGGCATCGGACCCTCCCATCAAGGCCAGGGAGGAAGGGGGCTGTGGGGGGCCCCAGGGGAGAGGCGGAAAGGGGTGACACCCTTGCCTTGGGGGGTTACAGGCTGGGGGCCACGCTGGCGAGGAGGCCCAGGGCCAGCAGCAGGCCCAGGGTGGCGCCGCGGAGCAGGGTGCGGGCGGGCGCAGAGCTGTGCAGCTGCTCGTTGCACAGGTCTTCCTGGCAGCACTGGGTGGACTGGACGCCGCTGCTGACTTGGCCCTGCTGGCTGTTGTCGGGCCTGCACGACTCTGCGCACTCTTTCCTCACCAGGTTCCCCGACAGAGGCTCCACTGCACATAGACGGGGTGTCAGGCCTGCCCGCCTCACCCCAGCCCACACCCACACAGCCCCGAGTCCAGCTGCCACGGGCACCCTCCACCTCTGGGCCAGGATGACCACTAAGACCAAACCGTCACGAGCGTGGCTCCCCCGTGGTCCCCCACGCCCTGCAGCAGCTGGGCTGCCACCCACCTGTGGTCATGGTCCTGCAGTAGTGGGAGCTGGCTGGGCAGGTCTGCGGCTGCTTACAGTTGGTGGAGCTGGAGCACACGTGGCAGCGGAGTCCCTGGGCTAGTGGGTGAGGGGTCAGGGTCTCAGCTGGGCCTGAGGCCACTGCCCACAGAGACCCCTGCAGGACAGAACCCTCTCTACTCCTGCCCCGGCCAGAGCCCCTGAGCCCACTGATGCACAGGACCCTCATCCATGCACAGCTTAGGGGAGTCTGCTGGCCCTTCAGACTCCCTTCCTAGAAGTCCTGTCCTGGACCAGGCCTGGGGGGCAGCCAGGAAGTGAAGAGGATGGAGTACCCGGGAGACCCTTCCTAGACCCTTCCTAGACCCTTCCTAGACCCTTCCCAGAGGTCTCAGCCCTGGGACTAGGCCAGGACAGTTTTCAGGACACAGCTGCTGCTCCACCCTGATGGTTATGAGGATGTGGGCTCTTGGCTCGGCCTCCTGAGTCTTGGGGAAGTGGGGCTAAGCCACCCCAGGGCTGTCAGGGAGGGGCTGGCAACAGGGGCCGATGGCCCTGAGTCTGTCCTCCCCAGGAGAGCGGCATCTCAAGACAACTCCAGGCTTTGTGGCTCTCAGCCTGAGATTCTCCTGGTGCATTACAAAATTCCCTGATTCTGAAGTGTCTGGGATTCTGCCAAGTCGAAATGGAGTTCGTTTTGCTCTAGATTCCAAGAGTGGAGCCCTCCACAACATCGGGATTCTCTGAGCCTGAACTCCTCCAGGCTTCCAGGGTTTGGTGATTGCCCTGGCTGAGGCTGAGGGTCTGCAAACAGGCCAAAGCTGCCCACCCTCACCTGACCCCCAGGCCTAGCCTCTCACCTGGGCCCATGGCCACKGCCAGGATGACGAGGAGCAGCAGGACCGTCTTCATACCGAGCATCATCTGGGAGCAGTGGGGGCCCCTCCTCTGGGGAGGACTTATAGTTGGATGGTGCCGTGGAGGGTGTGGGGTGGCAGCCAGCCAGCCAGTGGCATGCCACCTGGACCTGCCTCACTCTGCCTGGTCCACACCCACCAGCCCCACTCATGCCTGGCTCCTGCCAGCTGGAAGGACACTGCCCCTAGCCCACCTCTCTGGGCCTAGCCAGGGCTGGGTGTGCACAGGGCCTCTGTGTCCGTCCTGCCCGGCGGTTCCCTGCTTCTGCTCAGTCCCCTCATTGTCTGTCTGCTGGTCCTGGGTCACATTGTCTCTAAYCATCTACCTGGTCTGTCACCTTGTGTCTTTGCCCTGCATTTCCCAACCCCAGAGAGGTCCTTCAAGCCACAGCTTGTCCCAGATGCTCTGGGGAACCCACTGCAGGGAGGCAGGGGAGAGGCGCTGACCCTGCCTGCCTGGGTTCTGATTCAGGGTGCTGGGTCAGCCCAGTGGACCCTGGAGCAAGGAACCCTAGGGAGTAAAGCATCCCTGCTGAGGCCGAGGTGGGGGGCAGCTGTGGGCTGTGGGCTAGGGAGGAGGAGCCACTGGGCAGGAACAGCACTTGGAAGCCGAGTGTGGGCAGGAAGGTGGTGTGGAGACCTTAGGCTGTGGAGATCTGGCCATTGTAGATGCCTGTGGAGGCAGGACTCACCCCCTCCCTCCCTTGGAGCCCTTAACCCTCCCCACCCAGCACTCCCTGCCCTGCTCAGGGGCACAGAACCAGCACCATCCTGATCTGCCCGTCTGCTCAATCCTCCCAGGCCGGAGTTCCTCAAGTCTGGGCCCCGCATCCAGGGTCCTTGGCAGGTGCTGGCTCTGGTCCCGAGTGGAGGCAGAGGCCACTTCTTGCTCTGTATGAGCTAGTCTCTCAAGCACCCACSTCACTGGAGCAGGGGCGTCCCCTATGGGCCCAGCTGGGAGTGTGGGTGGACCTGCAGAGTCCTCCGGCTCCCCCTGCTGCTGCCCCTGCTCTGGGGGGCAGGCTAATATGCAGGGAGCTCTGGGCCTGTCCCAAGGCTGGGCCTGGGCCAGTCTGAAGTTCTTGGGAGCCCTGTGGTTCTGACACTGCTGGGCCCTGTGGCCTGCACCTGGGCCAGCTGGCTCTGTGTTGAGCTGGGGATAAAAAAGCTAAGGCCGTAGGCGGGGGACAGAGGGCAGGCTGCCTGAGAACTGACAGCTCCTGGGCCTGCCAGACCTGCCCAAGGACAGAGAGGGCACGGGTGATGCCTTTTGGGACCCAGAGGGGTGTCGGGAGTAGCCCTTTGGGGCGGCCCCACCTCTGCAGCCTGCGTGTGTAAGGGCTCCCGTTCCCTGGCTGATCCCGGTCCCCRGGCGCTGGCTTAGGGCTGCCACAGCCTCAGAGGGTGGGCCAGCAATGCAGGGCCCACGCTGCCCAGAAGGCCACCCCAGCTCCAGGCCCGCTGTGCACAACAGGCCCAGGGAATGCAGGGTGGTTGGAGGGAGGGTGACTTGGAGGCCTTGGGAAGCAGAACCCAGAGCTTGGGGACAGGGTGGTGATGATGGGGCATGCAGGTGGGAGGGGTGACTCACTGGGCTAGGAATCTGCTGGAAAAACAGGTTTGGAATTTCTGATGGGTATGATGGAGCTGGTGGGGCCTCGGGATTCACCATGGCTGTGTGTCCCGAGGCCAAGAGAGAAGCTGGGCTCCAGTTCTGTGGGGAGGGCCTTTGTCCCTGGCAGGGCTGCCTGAGAGGACGTGAGCTGGCTTCCTGGGCAGTTTCCTGGCCCAGGTGTGAAACAGGCTCGAAGGAAGTGCACTCAGGAGGAAATGGGGACTCTGGGCTTTCTGTAGGCAGCAGCCAGATCGGGGCCTCGGAGGTATGGCGGGTACAGGAGCCGTGGTGCCTTACTTCTGCCCCACCAGTACCCATCTCCTGGTGGACCTGAGGGCAGAGAGGACAGGGCAGCACCCCTGGAGTGGTCTCAAGCCCTCTTACCATCTCCACTGGCCCTCCAGTACCCTCCTCCCACKTCAGAGCCCCTTCTCTCTCAGTCCCTGGGACCAGGACCCTGATGTGACTTGTACCCTCAGGACATTGGCAATAGGAATGGTGGAGAGTGGAGAGCAGGGACTCCACTGTGCTRCCCCTCGCCCAGCCCACTCCCTGAACTTGTCTGGGTGGCCAGGAAGTTGGGGAACAGGCCTGAACCTTGCTCTGGAGCAGAGACCTCTGCTGATGTCCCTCCCTTTTGCTTTCCTGTGGTCCCCCTGTGTGTGCCAGGAGATCACCAGGTGCCTGAGCTCAGAAAGGAAGGCCCTGGCTCAGGGGGCAGAGCATGCTCCTCCAGGCCCTCTGAAAGTGCAGCCCTGGTCCCTGCCCTGGCCTGAAGTCGGACACCAGGCAGACAGGTCAGGCCCCTGGACTGGAGATGTCCAAGAACCTTGGGGCAAAGGAAGGTYGCCATGTGGGCAGGCACGAGTCCTGGCCACTCCCCAGGCCCCTCCAGGCACTTCACTTACTCAGTCTACATTCTATAAGGACAGACCATATGCAGGCACCCAGGTCTCAGGCCCCAGGTCAGTGGGGGAAAGAGAGATGGCAGGCTGATCTGTGGTGTACGCGRTTATGCTGTGGACCCACCAGCTGGCAGGCCAAGGGGCAGGCTGCAAGTCTACACCCTTTGACCCCCTCCTGGGGTTTGAGTGCGTCTTTATGGTCCCAAACCCTATTAATCATAAGTGGCTGTTGCTATGATTTAAAACCATAAAGAAACGTCATGAGATCTAAAATCATAAGCAGAAGGGGGAGTGACCCAAAATGTCCCTAGCTGAGTACAAGTTAGAGAATGGTTACTAACATCTAGACAGTCAATTTCTGACAGGGCACATTGTCCAAGAAAAATGGGAACCAAAAGAGAATGATTTTACACTGCATGAGAATCGCCATCTTGTGTTGCCAAACATGCTTAGTCCACGGGCACAGAGGGGGSTCTCCCTGGGAGAAGCACGTGGTACGTGACGTGGAGTCTCGGGTAAARTGGAGTCTGTTTGGCCGTGGCCCATGGAGCCTGGCCCCTAACAGGGCAGACATGTAACCCTCCAGAAGGTCGGGCCGCAGGAGGGCAGACCTGGGTGGAGCCATCTAAGTGAGACCTGAGGGGAGGTGGCCATCAGCTGGGGAGCAAGGAGGACATCCTGACAAGTGCACCGGGGCCTGGTTCCAAGTCCCCTGTCACCTGGGGCTCTCCCACAGGATTCAGTGAGGCAGGGTTTCCCTCGGGCCACTTAGTCCCTCAGATCACACACTTGGCAAGCAGGGCCTCGGTGACCCAGGGAGGGGTGGGGCCTTCCCAGCATCACCCTGCCAGTGGAGTCATAGCTGGGCCTGTCCCCGGGGCCTGGGGCTCTTCTTCCACAGCCCTCCCCCACCACTCCCAGCACTGGAGTCACCTTGACGCTCAGCCACAGCCTGGAAGTGGGTCTTGCTCGCCTGCTTCCCAGGGCCTGCCTGCATCTTTGCYCCTTCTCTGGGACCCTGGCCCCCAGCAGTCATTCTCCTGTGTACCCTCCCCCCATGGCTGGGCTGGGCTGGGCTGGGTGCAGTTAGTGTCCATGTACTGGGTCGGGTCTGGGGGTGTGGCTGGCGCCATGCCCTGTGCTGGCCCTCATCCTTGCTGGGCCTCTCCTTTCTGCCTGCCTCGGTACACGTCCAAGGAGCACAGCATGGAGTCAGCCTGAGCAGCTCAGCCCTGCCTTGGGTGGGGCCTGCTCTGGGGAAGGGCAAGACTGCGGCCCTAGGCTTCAGAGAGGGAGCAACCAGTTCTCAGGCCTGTGTGGTAGGACCCACAGACAYGGGCACCAAGGTCTCGGCCAGGGGTGCCTAGTGCCACCGTCTGGGTGATGAGGGAGAAGACTGTAGTGAGTGATGAAGTGGGGCAGAGGGGCACAAATGACTATGGGGACCGCAGAACCAGGACGGCAGGCTTGTGGCAGTGTGGGCTTGACTCTGGCCCCGAGGACCAGGTACCTGGAAGGTGATCTGCTCTCTGCATGTTGAGATAAATTCCTTCCAAGGTTCGAGGGAAGGACGAGGGTTTGCGCTTGTGCTCGACTTCTGGGCTCACCTCTCTGCTGAGCTGCAGTTCACTTYTCCTCCCCTTATAGCCCAGAGGTGGTGGCTGCCAAGCCTTGAGCTCCGTGGGGGAAGAGGACACAGCGTCTTCTTCACTTCCTTCCTTGCCCCCTGCCTTCACTTGCTCCCAACATCCACCTCCACTCTAGTTCATCATCCATCACCCACACACTGGTCCATTCATGCACCTACCCGTCATCCCTCCATCCTTTCCTCTACCCATCTGTTCATGCATTCATGCATCCATCCCCTGTCCATTCACTGACCCATTTGTCCATCCATCCATGCATCAGTCCATATCCATCCATTATCTATCCATCCATCCGTCCCTGTGCCCGTCCATCCATCTTCCATCACATAAATATGGTTGGAAGAGCACCGACATGGGCTGGTGGCCTGCTGGACAGCCCACAGGAAGGCCCACACGAACGAGGAGCCTTCCTCCCCACAAATTCACTTTTTCAGGACTGTGCTGAAKGTTTTATTTTGTTCAATAAAGAAAGCAAAATGCATTCTGGGACATCTGGTATGGACAGAACTATGAAGAGGAGTAGAACAGGGTGGGGATGAGGAGTGGGGCGCTGTGTGGGTTGATGGTTCCGGAAGAAGCAGTGGGTTGGATCTCGTCACGACCTGGGTGAACTCAGCAGTGCTGCACAATGACATTTCCCTTAGTCATGGGAACAAGTCCCAGGACGGTGACGGTACCCAGAGTCCCTTCCCAGATATCCATTTCCCAACTGCTCCCMGCCCTCTGGATGGGCCTAGGTCTTCTGACTCTCCCTGAGGGCCTCCCTGTGCCTTTGGAGTTCCTACCCCACCCAGGGACCCCTCCCTGTGAGTCAGTGCAGACCAACTCCCAGGGTGGA